ACTGAATATTATTGAGATACTAGCTGCCGGTAGCGCGAAGCGCCGTGACAGTGAGCGATGAGGTGCCTTGCCAGTTCTTCGATTTTCTATTAAACATCGATTTATTTATGGAATATTCGATGCGACGATGAGGAAGGTGCCGCAGTGCTGAGCCGACGTGGAAAATTCAAATCAACTCCCGTCGCGCTGAGGAATTTTTCGCGAGCAACCCCTAATCCGTGGATCATTCGCGGGTTCTTTCCAAATCATGAGTGAAAAATATTTCTTTTCGCTATTCGAATTTCAAAATAAAGAACACGTTTTACTTAATTATGATACTTTCATTGCGAATCATCATGATTCACTTCTAATTATATATTTTTAGAATTTTCATTAAGATATTAATCGATTTTTGCGAAGCTAGACTGAAACGAGAGAGCAAAGGTAAAAAAAAACGTATAATACTTGTTTTAAAAAACTGAGCAATAACTGATAACTTGATATATAATCAAATCACAAAAACTTTATCGGAATAACCGGAAGAAATCGAGAGGAGAAAATTGACAAACCTTGGCATTTATTCGTTCTTGCCAACAAAGACCCGGAGGACTAGTCGAATTTCGGGCAATATTGTCGATTGTTCCGATGTGTTTCGACGACAATAACCTACTCGAGACGACAATAACGCGCTCCCAGGGGCAAAGAACCCCTCCGATCGAATATGCAGCGCAACGTGTCCGGTCCTAATTCCTCTGTTTGCGTATGCAAACGAAGAGACGAGGTCACCGACGGGACATTCACGGGCCATTCCCATCCTCCTCGTTCTGTCGCGTGTACAATAAGCGTGTATGTACGTGCGAAACGATCAAGTGAGCAATCGCGACTCGATAAGGGCATCTCTTCGCGATAAAAAGAACGTCGCAATATAATTTCGAATTGAATCAATATACACGCGAAATTTATCAGAAATATTGCCGGAAGAGAGAATTTATACACACATTCGATTCATTTTCACGCAATATTTGAATTTTTATACCGAGGCGAGTAATCAATAAATTATATGAAAGCTAGAAGAGAGAAAGAGAATGGAAAAACAGTAGTAAATAAATAAAATTAAAGAGAACGCTGAAAATTTATTATGACGCCGCGTCGTATTTGTTTGTTAATCAGTTGATCGATATTCCCTCTCTCGACGCGAAATAAATATCAAGAGCCCGTAACACATTTATTTAACAAACACAGCGAGTGTTATGGAGACGCGGACGGAACAAAACACGACCGAGTCGCGAGAAATGGAAATTAATTTATCGCTCTCCCCGCAACAATCAAAATCGTTTCGAATTTGATACACGCACACTAGCTCGCTAGCGCGCGCGTAAATGCGTGCGTCTGACAGGTGGGCGATGCGGTGCGCGGATGGAAATAATACGAATGACGTCACGATGCCTCGGGAGTTGGCTGCGGAATACGCGAATTCTCTGGAACCAACCCCTGGACGGCAATTAAACGCAAAGAAAACACACAGGATGGGCACCGCCGCCGCTATATACGAGTTCGATTCAGTTCGCCTCGATTCGACTTGGCAGTTTAGCTGAAAGAGCGCTTTGTAACGCATGTAACGCGCCCTTCGGGCGCGAGGGCGCCCCGGGTATATGAAAAGTCCTCCCAATCGAACAGTCGCGGAATTGATCAAAGTGACGCGCAGTAAAACCGATCCGTAATGTAATCTTCGCTGCGCGAAACATCAAGCGGTGACCCCGCGGGGCATACGTCCGCGAGTGCTGTTGCAAACAGCGAAAACAATAGCGGGCTATATCGTGTAGCTACTATACTCGAGAGAGTACATATTGTATATAAGTCTAAACTATACTTGTAACAAGAAACTGGAGCAACTAACATCAGTTAACACCATTGCGAGAATAACAATCACAAGGGCGCAAACTTATGTAATTTTCTAACAGATATATGTACTTAAATATATTATAAAATTTTGTGCAAATATATTATATATATTATTAATAATTTTATATAAATTTATGTTATTTATTTATTTTTGCTCTCCCTTATGTGTGCTCATTATATATCATTAACATATCTTATTAATCACGGTAAGTATGGTTGCATTACTCTCTATTTAGCGGAAAACGAGACTGATGTTAATATAATATAAATATTAATCAGACAAAAAAGATTAGGACATGAAGGGTTGAAGATAGTAAAAGAATCTTCGTCGAAGGTTGAAGATTCTGGGAAAGCGCGTCAGCTCGGGGGCATTGTGTATTAAAATTAAGAGAATACATTAAGCGAGTTAATGTTATTCAGCTTTTTGTTCACGGCGGGCACTTCTATAGAAATAGCTCCAACGCCCTTTCGCCGGCGGCCCGAAAACACCCTCTTTTTATCTCACATTCTTGACAAGAATCCGCGTTACATACTTTCCGCGATCGAATTTGCATCGAACGTTCAGAATCTTTGTCAACGTATCGGGAAAGTATTTCTACAACTAACTACTAAAAGATGAATAGCGGTTATTTTCAGTATTGAAGTTTAAAATATCTTTGCATACGGATTCTACATCGATTTCCGAAGACTAACGACTTCTTTTTAAAAAGGGATAATCGAAATACAAAAAAAGTGCAACAAACAAAATATTAACTTAAGTTAATTTCAAGCGCACTTGACTTTTGTAATAATGGAAATAATATTTATGCCTGACTTATGAGTGAGGTAACTTTATAGTTTGCCTCCCCCCAACCTCCGACCGCAAGCGCGGTTATCCTCCATCTGAAAATAGTTTAATTAAAGTGAGAATAGTTACGGAAATACGATACACGGCGGAAAACACAATGGCTCGGCCGACGAAGAGAAAGAATCGAGAATAACGCGAAGAGTGTATCCCGGATTCTTTCAATCGTTAACTACCGTCGTTAAAAGCACGTCTCGTCGACCCACTTGAAAAGTACCTTCTTACTTACTTGTAAGGGAAACACGCAGAATGTGCCCTTTTAGAATGACAAAGATAAGTTACGTAAGAGAAACTCGACGTAACGAGATCTCACCTTTCGCGATTCTATCCGTGACGGCTGTATTCGAGAGACCGACTTTTATTTTATCGTATTTTCTATAAGACCGCACTCTCACGATCTTACCTGTGGATTCCTCTACTTGTCGTTCTCTTTAATTGGATGGGTTCCAAAAAAATAAATAAGGTAACATTCAAAAATTCAATAATTGCAACATAATAAGTAATACGTTTACGAATCAGAAAACGACGAATGTTGACACATAACAACGCAAATTAGCTAAGCAGCAACAAAGCAACGCAAAGAAGTGAATAGAGATTCTTGAAAATTTCTAGACGTACGGTTCCAACGATGGAATTCATCGACAGTTTATTATCTTTTTTATCGTTTCGTACATCAAAAATGTGAAAGGGAATAGGTCAATTCTTTCCTAAACGCAAAAATTCACAAAGAACTGTCTTTAAGACTAACGCGGTCTGGCTTTTATGGTTTTATGTTCTAAAAGAATGGCGAGCTCCATTTCGTGTTTAAAGAAAAAATGAAAAAATCCCATCTCCTCTTTTAAAAAGACGTTAATGATCGCACAAAATGATATTAATATTGTCATTTACCATTTTCATTCGCGATATTATACGAATTTATTGTATCATTGTAACATACTTCTTCCTCGCGAAAGGTTATTTTTTAAATTTTATAATATATTTTTTTAATCATATTCTTTTTGCTCGCACGATTATATAAACGCGATTAGATTTCACGCGAAGCTACCGGAAGTATCACGACGGAATGTTGATGGTCGCAAGCTTGTATATTTTAGAACGTGGAAAATCGCCGAGTAAATTAGACGCGCCGGGCACAACCTCGCCGGTTAGCCAATACACTGCGCCCACCCTTCGCCCTTCGTTGGAAGTATTTCGAGCGGAATTTTAATTAATATCTCGCGGCTTTTGGGGCGCTCTCTCGCGCACGAGCGTGGCGTGAGGCTTGCAAAAGCCCAGAGAGATGAAAGGCGATACCCCCAAGGACCCGCCAGCGAGAGGGGATTTTTAATCGGCACTAAAACATCCCGAATTGAGGGAGAAAAACAAACAGAAGCGAGGCGAGAATACGCGATAGTCTCTTTCTAGATTGAAATGTTTGCAATCATGGTTAAAATCGTCCACGGCGATTTCGTGGTCGGCCTGTCAAAAAACTATCCGTCAAAAATATTGTCTCGAAATAGATCGACGCGCATTGTTTTTATACTGTATTATAATATATTTTTTTAATCATATTCTTTTTGCTCGCACGATTATATAAACGCGATTAGATTTCACGCGAAGCTACCGGAAGTATCACGACGGAATGTTGATGGTCGCAAGCTTGTATATTTTAGAACGTGGAAAATCGCCGAGTAAATTAGACGCGCCGGGCACAACCTCGCCGGTTAGCCAATACACTGCGCCCACCCTTCGCCCTTCGTTGGAAGTATTTCGAGCGGAATTTTAATTAATATCTCGCGGCTTTTGGGGCGCTCTCTCGCGCACGAGCGTGGCGTGAGGCTTGCAAAAGCCCAGAGAGATGAAAGGCGATACCCCCAAGGACCCGCCAGCGAGAGGGGATTTTTAATCGGCACTAAAACATCCCGAATTGAGGGAGAAAAACAAACAGAAGCGAGGCGAGAATACGCGATAGTCTCTTTCTAGATTGAAATGTTTGCAATCATGGTTAAAATCGTCCACGGCGATTTCGTGGTCGGCCTGTCAAAAAACTATCCGTCAAAAATATTGTCTCGAAATAGATCGACGCGCATTGTTTTTATACTGTGAGTAAAATTGAGACTATTCCATATATATGTGAGATTTTTATATTTATTTTTATATGCGCCAAAATGCACTCTCGTTTACTTAAATAAGCAATAAACTTATCAGAGCGCAAAATTGATTCCCAGACTTGATTATATCTTGTATCGCGCGAAACTCGTTTCTTCGCGCTTACCGAAGGGGTAAATCGACTCACCTTTATTCCGAGGGTAGGCGTCAGCATCCCGTAGTCCGTAATGGGTGGCAGCATAACAGGGGGTAGGTTTGTCATCATCATACTGTCTAAATTCTCCACACGTCGATGTATCGAACACAGATCAATTTTATTTCCTATTAGACCTACCTGAAACACAAAAAAAACGCAGAATGTTAAAAACCGAAGGGGTAAATCGACTCACCTTTATTCCGAGGGTAGGCGTCAGCATCCCGTAGTCCGTAATGGGTGGCAGCATAACAGGGGGTAGGTTTGTCATCATCATACTGTCTAAATTCTCCACACGTCGATGTATCGAACACAGATCAATTTTATTTCCTATTAGACCTACCTGAAACACAAAAAAAACGCAGAATGTTAAAAAAAAAATATTTCACATAAAATAATACCTTTATAATTGATAGCTATTTAGAAAAAGATCATCAAATTATAAAAATAAAGAATAGAAACAGATTGATAATTCCGAGTATTGATAATTTAAAACTGATGGAATCGGTAAAAATTTAACACCACACGTCGATGTATCGAACACAGATCAATTTTATTTCCTATTAGACCTACCTGAAACACAAAAAAAAACGCAGAATGTTAAAAAAAAATATTTCACATAAAATAATACCTTTATAATTGATAGCTATTTAGAAAAAGATCATCAAATTATAAAAATAAAGAATAGAAACAGATTGATAATTCCGAGTATTGATAATTTAAAACTGATGGAATCGGTAAAAATTTAACACCACATTTGATTTCCGATTGTAAACGATATCGCGAAATTCATTGAAAACAGTAGTTTCGCGAAAGTTTTACACGCAGACAATATTAACTGCGACCGCACTGACTGACAGACTGTCACTTTGTCGGTAATCGCTGAAACGCCAATCGATTGTGCTACTACAAAGAGCCGACAAAGGATCGGAATAGTTTCCTATCGCAAACTTTTCCATAAACCAGTATAAACACACTATTGACATTTCCGAACATAATCTGAAATTCACGACAAAGGGAAAATGAGAGAGAAAGAGAGAGAGAGAGAGAGCTTGCGGTTAAAATTTCATTCTAAGCCCCAATTGCGTCTCGTCTCCATTCATAGTTGTGTATATAGTTACGCTTTAATTATACGAATCAACCAATCACAAAATTAATCCATTAAGCCCAGGGAATCAGGATGTTAGGCTCGCATGACACTTGACTAAGTTTCGACGTACAGATCGGATCGTGCAAAAGTCAACGAGCCGCGAAGATCATGCGATTACGATTGCATTAGTTAATAAAGCCGCGACTAAGCGTACCAGAATTCAGGATGCTTCGATATCGAAGGAACGATCGATTGAATTGCTCTCAAAATAAATATAAAACGATACTGTATTGTTACAAGTCTACAAAATTTATTTTCCAGTATTTTTTATCATACAACATGGAAACAAAGAACATTAATAATTGATTCTTGCAATCAATATATCTTACGCTTAATATAATCATCCTATATTTTTAACCCTTAGCTTTAATTTAAAAGCATTTTTCGTATTAATTTTTTGATAATTGAATATTATATATATAATACTAAATATTTTTCTCGACAAAAAGATTCAAATATAAAAAACTAATTTTTTTCAATATAAATTTATTTTTACTTTCATCTTCCAAAATTTTATATAAGAAAATCTTTTCTGTTCAAGATGCATCGCAACAAGATGAGAAAATACAAAAATATGTTCACAAAATATAAAAGTCAATGTAGGAATCATAACATTCCTCTTGCACTCTTGTTCGATATGAGATGGCTGTACCATTTTGTCACGTTCGCGCATCGTACAACACGGTAACCCCCGATATCGAGGATTCGCGGCGGAATCGTTTCGGCGAGATTTTCGATCCGAAGCAAGGCGCAGTCACGTATCGCGTCGCTCTGAGCCGGTCTAAGTGCTCTTCAATTACGCGGCGACGCAGGCAATTATGAGCGTAATCCTTTAAGATTTACATGGAAGACATGCAGGCAGACCCTGGTTTTAGAATCGACTGAGAAGATGGGCAGAGAAGAGAGCGAGAGACGAAGAACGAAGAGTGGAAGCACTTTCGGCGGCTACGGGGAACGCCATGTTTCCATGGCGTTCGCGGAAATAGAGATTTCGCGAGGGGTCTTACCTCGGATTTCCCGGTTAAGCCGCCTCGGATCGTGCTGTTACAGCGTTCTCCGTCTCTCTCTATCTCTCTCCTCGGGATTCCATTCTACATCGACTTTGTCTCTTACTCTCAGATCGCCGAGAGCCATGTGACACCAATCTAAGTTTCGAAGTGTCTCTCTCTTCCTCCACTCCACGTTCCTTCTCCCCGCCCTCCCCTACCCACCCCCTCACTCTCGTCTCTATTTCGTAATGCTCTGCCTTTGCACTCCATGGCTTTTACATCGTCTCATTTCCTCGCTCTGTAACGTCAAGCGACATTATTCATTCGCGAAAGTTCGCCGAGCTGCTAAATGCCGGGGCTGAATGACCGTAGTAAACAATAGAGACATAACATTGTTGGCATAACCGTTGAAATGACCAATTGCCGAGTGTGTAAATTTCGTATTAATTACGCGAATAAAGCATACGGTATATTATAATTAGATGACATTTCATTTATAGCGCATATCTCGCGCATTTTAAACCCGCTTTGTTCCTCTAATTCAAAATAATTATAGCGACAAACTATATAATACAGATATAATAATACAGATCGATAAAATAATCTCATAAAATGGAAAGTATGAGAAACGATAAAATAGAAAATTCTTTGAACGTTCGTCAATTATATTTCTTGAAAAATTCATTTTTATTCTCGGACAAATAAGGACTCGTAAGACAATTTAAGAACATCTCGAGACACATATGTTAACATAAAAATAATAACTCTTAATTTTTTAATTCTTATATTTTATACAGAGTGGAGCCAACCTTTATATACAAAAGGTATTCATACAGGGAAAATTTGCATCTTTTGAGTAAGGCTGAAATAATACGATATTTTTGGAAAATATAACTCTTGAAATAAAAATATTATCGTAAGCATTTTCCGCAAATAAAATTCAATTTTCCTGTTCACAATTTTCTCTCGTAAAACTATTCTCTACAACATTACTGCCAAATCTATCCGTTCGCATCTCATTATAATAAAAACATTACAACACAATAGAGTAATGAACGTTTTCGGGATTCCATCCTTTCGCATTGTCGCTAAATTATTAAGGTATCGAAATCTCTCACATATTGAAATGTCCCTAAATTACCTTGCCAGGTGACAGTAATGTCGAGGCCGCGTTCGAATGAACACGGAAATAACGAAATGGCGATCGATCGCGTAATAAATTACCGCAACGATCGGCGGGGAATATGAGGCGCGGCTTTAATGCACCCGCGAGATCTCCCGTGTATATATCTATCGTGCAACAACCGGTATAGGAAAATCGAAATGCGTCTAGTGGCCGTTCGTCGCCCCAACCCGCGCCCATCCCCCGTCCTACTTTTTTTCTCAACGGCCCCTAGATATTTTATTCAGCGGCACTTCGCGCGCGCGCTTCTCGCGCCGTTTGATATTGCAGTCTCATTGCATAAAATCCAAGGCCTGCATAAAACAACCCTTCGCACCCTCCTCCTCCCCCCCCCCCACCCCACTCAGCTCTCACACTAAGTCCCGGACATCCCGGAACACGGTCGAGACCTATGTTATGGCCGTAGAATGGGTTCCTCGAGAGTTCCTCGCGCCACGATCGAATCCTCGAGAGAAATTTCCAAATACAATTTCCGACCAAAAGCGTTAGCTCATTAGCGTCCCGAGTACATTATTCTTTAGAAGTGCTACTCTAAAGGATCTATCTCTGTCATTATTCGCAATCTCTCCTCGGATGCTATTGTTTATCATTCCTTACAAATACTTTAATTTTGTAAATTCTCCCTTTACGTACTTTTTCTCCATAATCGTTCAAATTCTCAGTTCTTATAATTGATAAAGTACAATTCAATATCATTACTCCCCGTCGTGTAATATCAAAGCAACGCGGCAGATCGTTGAGCTCAGTTAAGGGTTAACGCGTATCGCTGTTGTATCGGAGTACCTCTCATTGAATTTTTTCGTGGCATGAATACCGATGGAAATATGTGGAGTATGCGTGCCGCGTCCCACCGGAGATAAAGCGAATTTTGAAAAATAGTTCACGCACATACATACATTTGCCGTGCTGTATATATACACATACAACCGTACAAACGAGAAATACGCGAAATATTGAGCGCATTGCATTTCTGGACGCTTGCAACAAAATGTGTATCTCGTTTTACAATACTAAATCTCAAAACACTTTTCTAAATAAACACGAGAAAAGTATTCGCGCACATTCGTTGATGCAACAATAACAAAAAAAAAAAAAAATTAAACTCGATCGAGATTAATTAAAAGATTGTTACGTTCATATGCTTCATGAATCAAAAAGCGATATGATTTGTATGCTTCGTGAATAAAAAACAAACAATAATATGAGAATCTATATAAACATATTATTCGGTAATATTGCTAAATTATAATAACGGAGAGCATAGTAATTAATACATTTTGTGTGACATTGGTTCATTTAAATATGCTTTATCTAACTAATTAATTATGCACGATTACGGGGGGTTGTGGAGTGCTATATAAATTTCTATTTGTTGCATATAATTAAAGATCGTTCCGCATAATGGTGGAACAAACATGGCGATCTACGCTTCAGCGAAATCTTCCAATATTTCTCCATTTCAAGCGGCTCATCGCGTGAGAGTGCAGTGATGAAACAACATTATCGTTTATAATAGCAAGATGTATGATGTTCTCTCCATAGGAAAATGCAGCGCATGAATTTTATGTTTTACACGCTCGTTTTAACGCGCGAAAGATTGATAAGAAGTAATCGCCAGCAGCGGTTTCAACACCTGGTACTTAGCAACGATATTGTAATTTCGATATTGCAAGCGTCCAGGTATAGCGCTCATGTTCCCGGCAATATGTTCTCTTTTTCATTTTCGTTGCAATAAAAGCAAAGATGCGCAACCCACGCATACAAAGCAAAATGATTAGTGATATTTTCAAAAAGCCAATCAAGTGGAAAATGTC